AAACATATGTTACACTTTTAAACCGTTATAAAAATTTTATGCCTCAAGTTACAATAATGAAATTTAAAATATATAATAACATTGTTATAAATTTTTTTTGTGAAGCATACAGTTGCCACAATTTCCTTATTAATCAACAACATTTTTTCTTTAGAATAACATTTGTCATTTTACAACATGTTCCAAATGACGTCCATTGAATTGAAATTGTTTGAACACAATTCCTGAAGTTTTTATTTACCAAGCTGTAAATATAACATATATTCTAACAGTTTAATTTTAAATACCTTCACAAACATGTAAACTAGTATTCTGTTGGGGACTTTCATAACAAGATGTTGTTTTCTTATGGTATTAATGACTAAAGTAGCAATTTAAGACCAATAGTAAAGTTTTACAATTTCTACCAGCTCTTCACATGAAAGTTCCATATCAAAATATGATGACGTCATTAGGACATAATAATTACCTGACTTTTGAATAGAAAGTTCTCAAAAGTTTGTCAGATAAAATGTATGCTGATACATTAGAAGTTGACAAAATATCTTTGTGAATGCTATTAATTTGATAAAGTTATAGGTGATTAAAAGTGTAACATATGTTTTGGGACACCCTGTATTTACCATAAACGGAGGAATAGAGGAAATTCGGATTAGGAAAAAACGATCGTGTTTGGAAGTAAATAAGTCAGGTAGTTCTGCAAAACGGATAAGATTATGGAGATTTATTGACAGTAGGAGTATTGTTGTCTGGAAAATATAAACTGGTTGGAAATTTTATAGCCAAAAACGAGTTAAAATACCGTTTGTGCTTTATTCATGTATTGCGTGTGTAGTTATATTTCTTACTAGCCCGACGGGCTACCTCCTTGTAGAAAACCGCTATCCCGACCCCTAAAAATGTTAGCCCTGGGTGTCAGGGGATGCTAATTGCACACCCCTGGTACATATGAACAGTTAAACAGACATGGTGCAAAAAAACTTCACAAACTGCTTCTATCTCACTATAAATCCCGCGCATATGTCATACAAGTTTCAAAGTTCTTGTGTGTTTGGTGCAAAAAGTCGAGAAAAAAAATTGTAGTCGGATTTTTTTGGAAGCGCGCGCGGACATTTTTAGCTCTACTGGTCAGAGACCAGAAGAGCTTATGCGATAGTAATGCGTCCGGCGTCCGTCCGTCTGTCTGTCTGTCCGTCTGTAAACAATTTTTCAAAACACTACTCCTCCTACAATTTTAGTTTGATTTCAGTATAACTTGGCACACAAGTAGACTACACTAAGATACATAGAATAGTGCATCAGATTTTTATTTCGATGAATGGTGTTGCCATGGTTACTAATAATAGAATTTTCTGTGAAATTCCTTAAGAACGCTACTCCTTCTACAGTCTTGGTCTGATTTCAGTATAACTTGGCACACAAGTAGACTATACTAAGATACATAGAATAGTGCATTGGTTTTTGATTTCGATGAATGGTGTTGCCATGGTTACTAAAAATAGAATTTTCTGTGAAATTCCTTAAAAACGCTACTCCTTCTACAGTTTTGGTCTGATTTCAATATAACTTGGCACACAAGTAGACTACACTAAGATACATAGAATAGTGCATCGGTTTTTGGTTTCGATAAACTGTGTTGCCATGGTTACTAAAAATAGAATTTTCTGTAAAATTCCTTAAAAACGCTATTCCTTCTACAGTTTTTGTCTGATTTCAGTATAACTTGGCACACAAGTAGACTACACTTAGATACATAGAATAATGCATCTTTTTTTGATTTAGATGAACGGTGTTGCCATGGTTACTAAAAATAGAATTTTCTGTGAAATTCCTTTAAAACGCTACTCCTTCTACAGTTTTGGTCTGATTTCGATATAACTTGGCAGACAAGTAGACTACACTAAGATACATAGAATAGTGCATCGGTTTTTGATTTCGATGAACGGTATTGCTATGGTTACTCAAAATAGAATTTTCTGTGGAATTCCTTAACAAGAGGCCCATGGGCCATATCGCTCACCTGAGTAACTTGGGTGATGCAGATCTTTTAAAAAGATTTGTTCTATATATATTTCTATGTAAAACTTGGATTCCCCATTGTGGCCCCGCCCTATGCCCGAGGGTCATGATTTTAACAATTTAATATCTACACTACTCACAATGCTTCCACATAAGTTTCAGCTTTCCTGGCCTAGTGGTTCTTGAAAAGAAGATTTTAAAAGATTTGTTCAATAAATCTCTATGTAAAACTTGGATTCCCTATTGTGGCCCCGCCCTACCCCCGGGGGTCATGATTTTAACAATTTTATATCTACACTACCAAAGGATGCTCCCACATAAGTTTCAACTTTCCTGGCAAAGTGGTTCTTGAGAAGAAGATTTTCAAAGATTTGTTCTATATATTTCTATGTAAAACTTGGATTCCCTATTGTGGCCCCGCCCTAACCTCGAGGGTCATGATTTTAACAATTTAATATCTACACTACCCAAATATGCTTCCACATAAGTTTCAGCTTTCCTGGCCCAGTGGGTCTTGAGAAGAAGATTTTTAAAGTTTTGTTCTATATATTTCTATGTAAAACTTGGATTCCTTATTGTGGCCCCGCCCTACCCCCAGGGGTCATGATTTTTACAATTTAATATCTACACTACCCAAGGATGCTTCCACATAAGTTTCAGCTTTCCTGGCCTAGTGGTTCTTGAGAAGAAGATTTTTAAAGATTTGTTCTATATATTTCTATGTTAAACTTGGATTCCCTATTGTGGCCCCGCCCTACCCCCAGGGGTCATGATTTTTACAATTTAATATCTACACTACCCAAGGATGCTTCCACATAAGTTTCAGCTTTCCTGGCCCAGTGGTTCTTGAGAAGAAGATTTTTAAAGATTTATTTTATATATTTCTAGGTAAAACTTGGATTCCCTATTGTGGCCCCGCCCTTCACCCGAGGGTAAGGATCTTAACAATTTAATATCTACACTACCCAAGGATGCTTCCACATAAATTTCAGCTTTTCTGGCCCAGTGGTTCTTGAGAAGAAGATTTTTTAATGACCCCACCCTATTTTCGTATTTTCTTGATTATCTCCCCTTGGAAGGGGTCTTGGCCCTTGATTTTTACAATTTAAATTCCCCTTCACCCAAGAATGCTTTGTACCAAGTTTGGTTAAAATTGGCCCAGTGGTTCTTGAGAAGAAGTTGAAAATGTGAAAAGTTTACAGACGGACGGACGGACGACGGACACCGGGTGATCAGAAAAGCTCACTTGAGCTTTCAGCTCAGGTGAGCTAAAAACGCTACTCCTTCTACAGTTTTTGTCTGATTTCAAAATAAGTTGGCACAAGTAGACTACACAAAGATACATAAAATAGTGCAATGGTTTTTGATAAGTACAAACCAGTAGAGCTACAGTCTCGACAGAGACTTCTGTTTTTTTTTAATATTATAATTTGCATTTGTAATAAATAGAAGCGGCGAATCTGACGAACTATATTAGAAATTGGTATGGCCTTACACAAACCTACAAATTCTTGGTAATGTTTGTTTTATAAATGGCAAGCTATTCAAAATCAAAATTTTGACTTAAGTCTGCATGTTCTCAGTTTATGGTCTCCATGCTAGGCCTCGGGATCATGAAACAGCCTTTACAGTAAAAATTTCAATAATATGTAGGTGGTCATGAAGACTTTTTGTTTTCTGAATTGTTTTATCACAGGAAAAAATTCCCTTTCAGCTTAAGATGTTGCTCATCATCTAAATACTTCCACCGATTTATATTTTTTAATTCTAGTCTGTTTTTTTAAACATGTTTAAAATTTCAATATTTATAACTTACTATGATGGTGGCCTTTCTCTTCTTTTAAAAGTGAATATCAAATCTCAGACAATAACAAAAAACCAGAAGTCTCTGTTGAGACTGAAGCTCTACTGATTTGCACTTTAATAACAAAGGAAGAGAAAAGTAGCAGTTGGGACTTGAAACTTTACAACAGTGATAAATAGAATAATGATCCTTGATTAAGTCTCTTTATGTTCTTAGTGTAGTCCACCTGCATGCTACATTATATTATAATCATACTAAAACTGTATTTGGGATAGCATTTTGGTAGCATTTTCGAGAAATTTCTATCTTTAGTAACCCAAGGCAATAATGTTCATCGAAATCAAAAAATGATAAATAGAATTTTGTATCTTAGTGTAGTCTACTTCTGTGCAAAAGATTATTGAAATCAGAACAAAACTATTGGAGGAGTAGCATTTTGAAACAATTTCTCAGAAATTTCTATTTTTAGTAACCACAGCAACATCGTTCGTCGAAATCAAAAACCGATAAATAGAATTATGCATCTTAGTGCAGTCTACTTGCATGCTACATTATATCATAATCAGACCAAAACTGTAGGAGGAGTAGAATTTTTGAAACAATTTCAGAAATTTCTATCTTTAGTAACCACGTCAACACCATTCATCGAAAACCAATAACTAAAATTATGTATCTTAGTGTAGTCTACTTTTGTGCCAAGTTATATTGAAATCAAACCAAAACTGTAGGTGGAGTAGCATTTTGAAACAATTTCACAGAAATTTCTATTTTTAGTAACCACAGCAAAATCAAAAACCGATACACAGAATTATGTATCTTAGTGTAGTCTACTTGTGTGCAAAGTTATACTGAAATCAGACCTAAACTGTAGGAGGAGTATCATTTTGAAAAAGTGTTTACAGACAGACAGATGACTGGATGCATTACTATCGCATAAGCTCTTCTAGTCTCTGACCAGTAGAGCGAAAAACAACTTTTCCTTTTCATTCAGTGATAAACTCACCACTGTCATCAACATCTGAAAAGAGGTTGTTGTTGTAGTCGTAAGTCAGTTCAATCTGCGAGATGTCGTAGTTAGCCACACCTGCATCAGCTGTTAATAGATCTGTGTTTTGCTTCTTGTCGGATGAGAAGTACAAGTTTAAAGTCCAGGTTTCATAAAAGTTGATTGACAACTTCTGAGTGTATAAGCCATTCATAGTCATGTTGCAATCACCAGTAGTATTGGTTTCTTGTGGAACAGAAATCAATGCTGTTGTATTCTGTAATAATTATACCATACACAAAATTTCAGGTGAAATTCTATGCAATCAACAGATTCAAATAAATGACAATTTTTTTTTTTTATATGTTAACAAGTTTCACATTCATTTTGAAACTATAATGCAATTTACTTAAAAGTCACACTTCAATTTTATAAATAAAATTTGTCTGTTCATTAAATATTCATATGTTAACAATTCAGTTTATTAAAACACATATATGTATACAACAGATAACCTGTAGCTGCATACTGTTGATTAAAAACTCACCCCATTTGTTGAAACATAAGGAATGTGGAACTGGATGCTTCCCTTGAATACAACACAGTTCTTGTTTCCTTCAGTTGCAGTGTATGTTTTAACTGGGGGTTTCCCAGGAGCTGGCTCATCAGGAGCATCAGCTGGGCAGTCATATCCTGGAAAGAAAATAAATTAACATAATATAATAAATTAATTAACTTTTTTTCATAATATTTCAGCTGTTTTACTGACAACTAGGTACATGTGCATGAATGTTTGTAGAGCAATATAGACTGAAGCATTTTTTCTGTTATTTTCAAAAGTAGGCTGAACCCTGAAATGGGTCTGTATTTTTCCAGCACATCATTCGTACATGTTTGTAAAATATTTACCAGTTTCTGAAAACTTCCCATCCTCCACATTAAAGGCCTGTACTTTTAAATCCTTGTACTCGAGGGCTAAAATATTGTCTGAGAAGTTTCCTCTTTTTTCACACTTGTAATATAGTTTAGGAGATGCTAAGTCCACTGTTTTATTCACTGTGTGATTAAACTCAGCTGAAAAAAACCCAAAAAACATATAAGTCAAAATACTAAAAATATGTATGGTGAAAATGTTATGGATTAAATTTTGTTGTTGTTTTGAACATATTTTTTATTGTATAAACAAAAGGATTGGAAACAAGTTCTTTCAATTTACGAGTTCCTCTCCTTTTTTTACTGTTCATCTTGTTGAAATTAATCCATTATATTTTTGTCCGTTACCATTAAGCCACTAATTTGTTGCATTTTCAAAACTTACGTTCCATGGCATCTGAGATTTTTACATCTGCCATCCAAGACTCAATGCTAGCTTTGCCATCCATGATTTTGAAATTAAACTTTAAGGATTTAATATCTCCATTTTTTGGTGTGATGGTGAGACTGGATTCTGTGTCATTTCCACTGGCACATGTTCCGTTGACTGTGACATCACTGCTCTTTGGAACATCCATGCTTGTACTAACCTGTAACGGATGATTATATTGCCATATTTAGTTCTGATCACTTAACAAAAATGTGACAATATTGCACACTTGAGATCATCTCATCCTTGATTTAAACATTTTCTTGCACATTCTAATGTAAGATTTCTATAGTCTCTGTTTGCTGCCTTGACCGTCGCCATTGAAAAGCTGTTCCTTTTTTATACCCCCACTTAAAAAGCAGGAGGGTATTTAAACAATAAAATGCTTTCTTTGTTTGTTGTTACTGGAATGAACGGAAGCAGCTGTTGCAGAAAAAATACATAACCCGCGTAAGCGGGTTATGTAGATTTTTTCTGCAATAGCTGCGACCGTTCATTCCAGTAATAACAAAGAAAGAAAGACATTTTATTGTTTATATTTATATCTGTTTAAATAATCAATTAAAGTAGGATAAAAAAGATTAATTATTGTATTAATGATGCGAACGTCTTTATACGTTTCATTGATGGAACAGCCACTGATTAAGAAATCTGTACAGGCGACATGCCTACTGCAGTTTATGCAGTGATGAACGCAATGGGGTTTCTTAAGAAATAAAGGAGAAAATATTCAGTGGATGTAAATATATATATAGTAATCGGTATGCCCCTCCGTCTGTTCTGTCAACAATAGTTCAAGAATTTTAAAACAATTACTTCCATCATATTTTTGTTTTTATTATCACTTTTTTGACAATAGCCTATCCCTTAGAGAAGGAGAGTGTATGGTTTTTAAAAATGTGTGTGTTACATGTAGCTATTTTCCTTCATCACATATATAGTTCTAAACAGAAATGTGTACTGGAACACACGTTAATCCAGATGGATCAATTGATAGATATCATGATTACTCAATTAAGCAGAACTCTTTCGTGTTGGAGGTAGGAAATGTAAGTTGGAAAGTGCTATTGAATACAATGCAAAATCGATCATTTTGAAAGTCATAAAGACATATTAGAAAGAAATCCTGGTGGAATATCTTGCTAAACATTCCCCGATACAGACTTATAAATCTTTGAAAGGATACATCTTTTTATCGATACTTTTCAATAAGCAGACTCTTCTCATTAAATTATCATTGTAAATCCTTATTTTTTACAGCTGATAAAATAATTTAAACTTTTCTTATCTGACAAACTACTATTTGGAGTTCAATCCTTGGCAATACATTGTACTCTCAACATAATCCGATTATGATTGTTCGAGTCATTCCATTGTCACTACTGTAAACAATGCTATGTCCAAGAAATATCTTATGAGATTTAGACCTTAATTGACTCCCTCCCAAAACAGTGGTAGCAAGTAAAATAACTGCGAGATATTCACGATGCTACATATTTGATTATGCTTAGAATTCTGTTGTTAGACTGCAACTAAAATCTTACATTTTTATTATCCTTGGTTGTATAAGTCACTTCTAGCTGGAAGCCTCCTGCCATGATGAGACAGGCTTTAGAGTTCTCTATGACTTCGTATCTAGACGCGTCAGGGAGTGGAGCAGTTGTTGGAGCCACTGTTATGGGTGCAGTGGTGGGACCCTCAGTCGTGACGTTAGATGGTCCAGCTGTTGTTTGTTCTGTTGTGACGTTAGATGGCCCAACTGTTGTTTTCTCTGTTGTTACATTGGATGGACCCACTGTTGTTACATTAGATGTTGATGGTTCTGTTGTGGGTTCAGAGGTTGCTTTTGTTGTCTCTTGTGCTGCAGTTGTCATCTGATCAGCACTACACACAAACACTGAAATAAGTGTGATAAAGAATATATTTATATATTCAAATTATTTCCTTCATTTTGCTTATGACCATGCAATAGCATGTATTATAACACCTAAATTACAATGAACTTTAGGCAAATAAGGTTATTAATAAAACTTGAAAGTAATTTATCATAAATAAACAGCAACATTGTTTTTACTATAAATTCATCAAACTTTTTATAACTATAAACATGATAAACCTGTTACTGGGAATATTAAATCTTATAGGTATAAAAATAATAACAATACAGATAAATCAAGCTGAAGTGGCAAGGCAGTGCATCTTTTTCAACATGGCAAATATTTACTCTCTTAACAGAATTAGAAAACACCCCAAAACTTCATTTTAGTTTTTTTTAAAAATGATACATTAGTCATTATATCATTGTTTATGTATACAGGTAGTTCTATCAATAGATATATGAAATATTATTTATATAGTTTAAACAATGATATTATATTTTGTAAAATACAATGAATAAAAAAATAGAACCGAGTGAAAGTTTGAAATCTGATTCACACACTTAATAATAAAAGCCTTCTATAAAAAATTCAATTATGAAAGGCTACATCTTTACTTCTGTAAATACAGGTACCTCCTTGAACATAAAACAAGAGGTCCATGGGCCACATCGCTCACCTGAGCACTGTGGTTAGGAAAAAGTAGAAATTGGTTTATTATTGAAAAGTTTAAATCAAAAAGTAGTCCAATGACCGACCATGGCTTTGCTATTCTTGAGAAAATGATTTTTAAAGAATTTTCCTATATATTTCTATGTAAAACTTTGGTCGGCCATTGTGGCCCCTCCCTACCCCCGGGTGTCATGATTTGAAGAAACTTGAATCTACACTACCTGACAATGCTTCCATATAAATATGATCAATTATGGCTTTGTCATTCTTGAGAAGAAGATTTTTAAAGAATTTTCCTATATATTTCTATGTAAAACTCTAGTCAGCCATTTTGGCCCCGCCCTACCCCTGGGGGTTATGATTTGAACAAACTTGAGTCTACATTACCTGAGGATGTTTCCATATAAATATGATCAATTATGTCTTTGTTATTCTTGAGAAGATGATTTTTAAAGAATTTTCCTTTATAATTCTATGTAAAACTTTGGTCGGCCATTTTGGCCCCGCCCTAGTCCCGGGGGTCATGATTTGAATAAAATTGAGTCTACACTTCCTGAGGATGCTTCCATATAAATATGATCAATTATGGCTTTGTCATTCTTGAGAAGAAGATTTTTAAAGAATTTTCCTAATATATTTCTATGTAAAACTCTAGTCAGCCATTTTGGCCCCGCCCTACCCCTGGGGGTTATGATTTGAACAAACTTGAGTCTACATTACCTGAGGATGTTTCCATATAAATATGATCAATTATGGCTTTGTTATTCTTGAGAAGATGATTTTAAAGAATTTTCCTATATATTACTATGTAAAACTTTGGTCGGCCATTTTGGCCCCGCCCTATCCCCGGGGGTCATGATTTGAACAAACTTGAATATACACTACCTGACATTGCTTCCATATAAATATGATCAATTATGGCTTTGTCATTCTTGAGAAGATGATTTTTTAAGAATTTTCCTATATATTTTTTTGTAAAAAAAATGGTCGGCCATTTTGGCCCCGCCCTACCCCTGAGGGTCATGATTTGAACAAACTTGAATCTACACTACCTGAGGATGATTCAAATTGAGTTTCATCTTTCCTGGCCCAGTGGTTCTGGAGAAGAAGATTTTTAAAAGATACCATTAATTTTTCATCAATTCATAATTATCTCCCCTTGGAAGAGGGCTTGGCCCTTCGTTTGAACAAATTTGAATCCCCTTTACCAAAGGATGCTTTGTGGCAAGTTTCTTTAAAATTGGCCCAGTGGTTCTTGAGAAGAAGTCGAAAATGTGAAAAGTTTACAGACAGACGGACTACAGATCAAAAAAGCTCACTTGAGCTTTCAGCTCAGGTGAGCTAAAAATGCTTGTTTGCATATCAAAAATGTTTGCTGTACACATAAAGGATTTAATAAAAATACATGTATTTTTTGGTAAAAAAAAAACCCATCTTGAATGCACATGAAAAATGTTTGCAATACATATAAATGATACATGTATCGGACAATTCTATCTTGGTAAAGCTGCAACCATTTTATCAAAAGACATGTATGGTTGACCATGTGGAACAAACATAATGCAGTGCATGGGAATTAAGCTTCTCTTTTGTGAGGGTGTGAGTGGGATATAGCCAAGGTCTCAGGTGTGGAAGTCCAGACTGGGAATTATTATCTAACCGTCAGTACTGAGGTTTCCATTATTTATTTTAAAGGCCTGAATCTGCACATTAGACATGTCCATGTACATTGTATAAGTTGTGCCATTTAACTCTCCAGTCAATATCATTCTCTGAGTAGATTCACACTGGTATAGTTGGGTGTCTGATCCAAGTTTCAGGTCTCCAGTGTCCAACAAACTTGTTGAAGCTGTATTTTTTATAAAGTAAAACTTTTGTTATGAAAATGGATAAAACCACGAATGGTAACCATGTCTTGTAATTGTATTTATTAACACATGTACTGTCAATACAACATCTTACTTGATATGGGTGTTCCTGGAAAGAACTCTGATGGAGCAAATGTAAACCTCAAACTCAAGTTTACTGATAAATCAGGGAGAGCATTGAAAGTCAGGGCCAAAAAGTCTTCTTTGGAATTTATCAATATCAATGATGCCTGATATTCTCCTTCATTTGCACAATCTCCGCTAAGCACAGTGAAATTCTTTTCATCGAATTTTACAGTTTCATTTCCATCATTCAAAGTAAACATAACATCCATCTTGACATCAATACAGGTTTCATTGTTGTCATAGGTGTACTTATATTCTGATCCTTGTGTCAGTGATAATGCTTGGTGAAAATGTCAAAATAGCATATAAAAAGCATATAAAAACACACTTTACACTTTAGTTGTAAGTTTACAAAACAGTAAAATATTTATTGTTATATAAAAAAAAGTTATCTTAAATCTAAAATAGATGTAAAAAAGAAATATGCCATTTGAGCATTCATAAGCCCTCTTGGTCTTCCCCTTAACAAAAACACACACACACACACACCCTCCCTCACACACATTATCATTTCATGAAGTAGACATAATACATAAATTCTTAAATAATTGTAGCTTTTTGATGTAGAAAGAATATACAGTACTACATGACAATCAAACTATGAAACTACGCCACTGACTTGATCACACTTACACAGAAATAAATTTGAGCAGACAGAGGTTTGCACCTGTCTAGGATGCTATCATTTTAATGCCCCCCCCCCACCCCCTCTTAACCCCATCATGACTTGAATACATAATTGAATGAATCTACCAGTTTACTACACTGTGCATGTATACAGCATGATTGATGATTGTTTCATGATTTTACACAGGTTAGCATTACATAATAGGGTGCTATATTCCATAAGAATTCAGTATCTCATATTCATAAGCCCATCGTCTCAAGCCATACTCTGGAGTCCACATTTAGCTTTCTCCTACCTGTGGCTGCTTGATCACAAAGTGTCGTAATCTTGAATATTTATGCCTCTATATTGGGACGTCATGTTCAGCCAATGATAATATTTGTTTTCATCGCAATTGAAATCAACAATTGACATCAAAATTATACCAGAAATATTTCGTATACTGCGATTGGATATTGAGAGGTCACAACAAAGTTCATCTGACATCTCACTATACTTCACTAGCTGGCATTGGTATTTTAATGAATTACAAAAAAATTCTCTCCTCATTCAACCATGGCCAAAATCATATATTTTGGCCAAGTTGGCTGCGGTTTGCGACGATGTTATAACAGGTCCAGGAAAATCACTATATTTAGCTATATAGCTAAATCTATCTATATAGCTTTATTTACCTATACAATATAGCTTTATTTAGCTATTTCAGAGTGTCCTAACAGCCTAATGCACTGTATAGTGTTTAAATACATAACTGGTTAAGCATTCCCTTGAAATCAAATATTTACGCATTATTTTTAAAATTAGTATCATATATTAAACAACATGAACTGTAATTTCCATTAAATTAATAATTGTTATTGTCATAATGATTGAAAAATACATAAATACCACAGAGAATCACCGCTCCGAAGAATTTCGCCTTCATTTTGATTTTTTATCTTGTGACTTAATCTAGCCGCTGACAGGTACTATCCTCGTGACGAGCCGCTGTTCAGGGAGATGCTAAAACAATGGCTTCAAAGTTGTAATAAACATTATAAATGTGTTCAAATTCACGATCTTAGATTTAAAAAGCTTTGTTTTTACGATAAAATAGCCAAGAAAAGAGACGATACTCACCTAGAGCTAGGCTAACAATCCTTCCGTCCTCGGTGTTCAATCATATGAGTAGTCACGTGAATGGAATGTGGGTAAATATGGGTGCATCGTTTAAAAAATAACCTTGAGCATTTTATGTAATGTGAATAATATGAATAGTTATCAATGTAAATAAAATGCAATTTATTGAAAATTTTGATTATATATTTATTATTAGTGTAAATGTAGAGAAATATTGTAGGTGAATAATTAACAACCCAGTTGCGGGTTATTAGTTTTACCCTGTTCGTATTGTGAAATTTCCCTTCTTAGTTTCATTTTGCATGATTTTGAGAAGATGAAACCAGCTGCTATTGTCGCTGATGAAATGTTCCCCGAGGGAGCGGGACCGTATATGGACATTGAGGAGGTATTGTGAAATAGTTTAGTCAAGTGTTTAACCCTCATAATAAACTAGAACTTCTTTGAGAACAATCAAGAACCTGTAAATAATTATAAGGTAAACAGGTAAATGAATGGTTTGTATTCATCAGGTCCAGTCCAAAGACTATTTCTACCTACGTAGGTATTAATAGCTACCTAGGTATTTAAAGCTACCTAAAGTAGCTACTTTTACCTACTTTCTGCTGTACATGCATTTTCTGGCCAAATGCAGGAACGGCGCAACATGGTGAGCACAAAATTTCTTGATACAGTCACACTGATGATAAATATGACAAAAATTTGGTGAAAAAATGAAAACTTCGTATATTTTCAATTTTACATAGAAACTAATGTAAAATCGCCGATTTAGGAAGTAATCATTTTTTAGCCAAATTTTTGTCATATTCATCATTAGCTGTGTGACCGTATCAAAAAATATGGTATTCACCATGTTGCGCCGTTTAATCTTTTGGTCGCAAAATGCAGAAATTATATAAAGTAGGTAAAAATAGCTACTTTTGGTAGCTTTAAATACCTAGGTAGCTATTAATAGCTACGTAGGTAGAAATAGTCTTTGGACTGGACCTGTTCATGGTATAGTTGATATGATTTTTATCCAAATTGTGTACTTTTATCTCCAAGCATCGGAATACACACTACTTGTTAGATGGGGGATAAAATACACATGTCAAGTTGGATAAAAATGTTATCTAACTACAACAGGTCCAGTCCAAAGACTATTTCTACCTACGTAGCTATTAATACCTACCTAGGTATTTAAAGCTACCCAAAGTAGCTATTTTTACCTACTTTTTATATTTTCTGCATTTTGCAGCCAAAAGACCAAATGGCACAACATGGTGAATACCGTATTTTTTTTTTTATAATGTCACACTAATGATGAATGTGACAAAATTTTGGTTAAAAATGATTAGGGTGAATTCACCATGCATCGGACACATACCTTGCTTCGGACAACTTTAGGCAATAAACTCTCTTTTAACTTAAGAGTTCCGTGCATTTATTTGTTTCTGTCTTAAAGATGAAGATTTAAATTTTTTAATGATACTGTACCGATTGTTATTATCATGTTGTGATAAAAATACCCCGTTAATGCCCTTGAAGTTACGTCATATTTTACATCATGAAAGGGGAATAACCAGAAATTTCTGATTTTGCAATGTTTAGAGTTATCGTTCTTTAAATTCGGCTTCAACGGAACGAGTCAGACCTTGGTGAATTTTGTCAAAGATTGGCAATTTTACATAAATTTTAAAGAAATTTCTCTTCAATATTTGTATAATTCTTTTTAGAGCTGGTTTTTAGTAGTATGTTCATTTCTCCGTACATCGGACACAAATTAACCATGCATCGGACACTTTCCGATGCAAAGGTTATCACGACCATTTTCATACAGAACCCTACTGACAGCTGTTTTTATCGCAAATAGAAAATAAAAACTCTAAATTTTCAGTCAAAATACAAGTTATCCATATATGAGGTCTAGAATCTGACTCAATTTATTTCTACAAACCAGAGTATGATAACCCATGAGAAAAAGGCGTGAATTACCGCATTGCAAGCATTTTTAGCATTTCTAAGGAAAAGTGAGGCATCTTGAATTGTTCTACATTTGTGCAATCGTCAATTATATTTAAGTTGAGGGTTATTTCTTAGATAAAAGGTAAAAGTACATCCATATCAAGGAATTTAAACCACTGTAATAAAGGTATGATATTTTCCTAATTCAAATACCATCTGTCCGATGCATGGTAAACAATGTCTGATCCATGGTGAATTCTGTGTTATTTTTAAAAACTCGATTTTTTACAATATTTTCTCAATAAAAAGAATATAATTGTGTCCAAAATTTATATTTTAATCACATACTAAATGTTTAACTCCATTTTGATAGTTTTCCGTTGGTAGCGATATCACTAGAACTTGTTGAAGTACAAGGGTATCCGATGCATCATGTGCATGGTGAATTCACCCTACTTCCTGAATCGGCAATTTTACATTTATTTAGTTTCTATGCAAAATTGAAAATATACGAAGTAATCATTTTTTGGCCTAATTTTTGTCATATTCATCATCAGTGTGACTGTATCATGCTGTATCAAGAAATTTTGTGCTCACCATGTTGCGCCGTTCTAGCTGCAGATATGTAGCTCTCTGCTTGAGAAAATTCGGACAGATAAAGCAGAGAGCTACAGATCCAAGCGTTGTAAAAACCTTCGATTTATGCCGACGATTTTTTGTCGCTATTTTAGGTATTTATTTCGTGTAGTTTAAGCTTTCTCTGACTTTTAGAATGGTATTCTATAATTAATCATATATTTAACTCTTATTTTTGATACTTGATTTACCTTTTAACGGTCCGAATCAGTCCTGTAAATAGTTTTGTATTGTCAATTTAAAAGAGTTCCATTTTGATGCCTGTTACCACAAACCGCCCTTTGCTAGCGGTGAACATGTTGAAAGGTAAGTACATTATCGGGAATTGAAGTTAAATATATGGTTGATTATTTTATTTATTATTTTATTTTTAAAGCTCAGGAAATTATAAAATACAAGAAAAAATACCCGAATTGAGCGACAAAAATCGTCGGCGTTAATCGAAGGGTTTTACAACGCTTGGATCTGTAGCTCTCTGCTTTATCTGTCCGAATTTTCTCAAGCAGAGAGCTACAGATCTGCAGCTAGCGTCGTTCCTGCATTTGGCCACAAAATGCAAGTAAAGCAGAAAGTAGGTAAAAATAGCTACTTTGGGTAGCTTTAAATACCTAGGTAGCTATTAATAGCTACGTAGGTAGAAATAGTCTTTGGACTGGACCTGTACAAACGATTTATTTATTCACCAATCGAGAGCCCTGGAGGGGCAATATAACCATGATTATAGCAGCATTAACAGTGATTAGCCTAACATATAATGGTTGCTTTAGACTCAGTTGCAAAAGTTCTAACACAAGAGTTATTGTTATGGTTCAGTTACAATGGAATATATATGTATCACATATAATATGATACATGTAAAACAATACAGAGGAAAGACTATTTTTTCTTTTTTTAGAGAAGTGGACAGGCTTTTGCCTACGGATGTAGGTGAAAGCCTGTCCACTTCTCTAAAGACAAGAAGGAAAAACAAAACTGTTTTACGTTTCAAAGAACAGACTAGACAAGATTAGTTACTAGAAATCAGCAGATAAATTTATCTCATTCAGATGATTGGTTTCAATATGATATTAAAGATATTTTCTATGAAAGACCACTGGCAATCAGATGCAGATTCAGGATGAATTTGCATTTTAAAAGTTTAAAAAATAAAGCCTGCATATATACAAAATGTTTACTTCATTCTGTAACATAATTTTGTTCTGAGTATTTGACTCTTATACATGTTATAGGCTTTGTCCTAATTCTTTTTTTCTAGGCTGGTGGTTCCAGTGCACTTTTGATGGATCTAGCTGCCAATGAAAAATCTGTCCACTCAGACTTTTTTAATGGTATGATATATTAAGCCACAATGTACCGGTAATTAGTCTTCAGTGTGAACTGTGATGAGTAATTTGCAAAAATATGTTGAAATTCAATTTTTCACAGATATGAATTAGTTTCTTGGTTTGCCTATAAAAATGTACTCATTGTATAGTTGAATCCACACTTTTCAAAAGTTATGTCTATTGGCTGCCATTTTAGGGTATAAACCCATAGAAACCTCACAGTAGCCTTTGTATTTTTCAGGTTTGTAACTTTGTCATTCGACTAGAAAAAATCATTGCATTAGTGTATACCGATTGCCCCATGTAGGGACTACCCACACATTTAAAGAAAAGAATTTAAACACAGTGGATTCATCAAAGCCCTCCCAAATGTTTGGTAGCATAAAGAGGAGAAGTGTTGTTTTTTTTCCTTTTGACCTTTTGGTTCACCCTGCAAAAGGACACAATTTTTGTAAAGTGTGGATTGGACTATTCAAAACAGCACAGAATGAAGCAAAACAAGTCATACAATTAACAATAAACAGTGTTTGTGAAACACTGATGCCCATATGGAAGCTTATTGTGATGGTTAAAGATTTGCAAATGCAAGTTGAACTCCAAGGTCAAAAAAATTGTTGCTTTGTATTCAAAGCAAGGTATTTTCACAAGGAATACTCCTGTGAAATATGAAAGTCCAAGTATTAATGGTTCAAAAGCTATGGTCAAGGTTAAAGTTTTTTTTATAAAAGTGAACTTAAATCCAAGGTCAAGGTGAAAAGGTTGGTATTCAAAGATAGATCTTGTTTCATAGAATACACCTGTGAAATATAAAAGACATAATACATGTAATACATGTATCGGTAGTAACAGTTCTAAAGTTATGGCCAAGGTTTAAGTTTTTTTAAAATGAGCCAAACTCTAAGGTCAAGGTGAAAAAAAGTCTTAATATTTTTATACCCAATTATAGGCCTTGTCATAATGAATACACATGTGAAGTATGAAAGCCCTCAGTAAGCACCAATTAACTAATCAAAAGTTATGGCCATGGTTAAAGTTTGAAAATTTTTAGTTAAAGAGAATCAAATTCCAAGGTCAAGAGGTCATATTTGGTGGTATAAAAAAGGTCTCGTTACAGAGAATAAACTTGAAATTATGAAATCCATAGTCCTTCTTACTCAAAATTTATGGACAAGGATTAAGTTTTTGAGGACAAACAGACAAATGGACAGACAGA